TGTGTGTGTGTGTGTGTGTGTGTGTGTGTGCATGTGCGTGTGCGTGTGTCCATGTGTATTTTTTATTCCATTTGCTTGACTCATTTACATTCATGATTGAAGACAGTATTAGCCACAAGAAGTCAGCTGCCCACTCGGGAATTTAAATGAATATGCTCAGGAGTTGGTTTGGCAAGTTTTGAGAGCAAAGTTGTCCAGTATTATAACATATGCCTCATCCCTGCTCAGGAATGGGAGTTGGTTTTGTGGCTTTCATTTTTAGATGAAGAAATCATAGCTCAAAAAGATCCAGTTCATTTGTCCATTCAGTAACTGTTGTGTACCTGCAAACTCCCCTGAGCTTTCCTGTGCATTTTCAATGCATCAGTCCACAGGACACAGGACCTGCCCTCAAGAAACTCATAGCATAGTGGAGAGATAATCTAGTGAGATAACTATTCCCATTAATTGGTTCACTCGTGATATTAAAAACATTTACTGAACAAGTGCTATGAGAAATAAAAAATGAATGAGAATTAGCTCTAAGAGAAATTAGTCTTAGTAGGCATGGCAAATTGAAACTGCCCACCTTCCTCTTCTTTATCTCTTGTCACTTACAACCCTCCCTTTCTCTCTCTCATCAGCAGGGCATTTTTGTCTTCCACCTCTTCTCTTTTCCCAGTCCATCAGCCAAGTCCCGGAGTTACATTGCCAGAACCCCACGACCAGTTATTTCAGCAATATGTTAATGTGGATTTCCTTTTTCTTGTTCTCCTGAGTGTTCACCCATTTGCAGTCCTAGAAGAAAGCTCAATCTACCTTCTCTCACACCCCAGAGCTACCCAGACCTCCTGGGAAAGTCAACAAACGCCAATTTGTTTCCTTGCAAATTCTCCCCAAATAACCTCAACGGAGGCCCTGCTGCTGCACAGGAATCTTACTAACCATCTTCCACTAACTATCTGTCAAGTTTTCTTTCCAAACTTCTCTCACTCTCCAGAAGCTCTGAGCCTAGCACTCACCTCATGTCATGCCTAGGGTCAGAGCTGCTGATGTGAGCTCTTCGAGCACCCCTCATGGCTTCTGCAGAACTTCACTCTTCCATCCATCCTCTTCCTCATTCTCTGCTCGTTTTTCAATCTTGTGAATTAGTTTCCAGTATTACCACTTGATTAATAATAATCTTAATAGCTGCTATTTTTGATGTTTATCATTAGGAGGTAAATGACATTTGCAAAGATGATAACCATTCTCCTAACTCACACAACAGCTGTTTGAAGAAACATGAGCATGTAGAAGAGCTAAAAGAACAAAGACAATGATTTTTAAGAGAGAACTGATGGCAAATTTAACAGATTCTGATTTATTAGAAGCATTCATTGCATTTAGGCATCTGGCAAGCACCGAGATTGATTTCTCTGCTACTCTCCTGTTCACCTACCCCTCTACTGCATGATAACCACCTTTGACTTCTAAAAAAAGGAGTGGGAAAATCTTGTTTGTGCTGACTTATCCATAATTTTTAAATTAATTTTTTAAAATCTACAAGTAATAAATTTATAGTGTAAACAACTACCATTGCAGGTAAAACTAAAGTGTCTTTTGACCTTGAGCCCTAATTTCAGTTTCCTCCCCTGCTTTGCCCATAGGGAGTCTCTGCTACCTGTTTGGGATGTAGTCTTCCAAACCATTTTCTGGGCATTTGGATAGATCAGGGGTGGACAAACTTTTGAGATGGAAGAGCCACCAGGGGTCAGCAAATTGTGGCTCGCGAACTGTGGCTCTGAAGTAAAATTGAAAATGAAAATAAAACTATCATAGTTTCATTTATAAAATTTTTACAGGATATTATTCACATNTGACATATAGAGAACGAGGCAGCAGGAGTTACATCATTTGACCAAAGTCATACAGCCTATATTCTCTTTCACCTTTGGTTACACCCTCCTGGTCTTTTTTTTTTTTTTTTTAATATTGAGGTGAAATTCACGTAACATAAATTAGCCATTTTAAAGAGAACAAGTCCATGACTTGTGCTTAACTTAATCTCATGTTGTTTTGTTCATCATGACCCTTAAGTGTTTAAACAATGACAAAATTGCCTAACATCACATTTCTCAGAACATATCCATCATTGAACGACACATGACCATATGTATCATCTCTACTCATAGTTTCAATTACCATCTATATGCCAAGGATCTCCAGAACCTCTGCTTTGAGGTCTAGATGTTGGTCAGCGTCAACACTTGGGCTGACATATGCCTTTGGATGTCAACTAGGCCCTCCAAAATCATCAATTTCAGAACTGAATTAGCCCCAGGTTGGGTCTCCACCAGCGTTTCCAGACCCTGTGATGGGCAAGCAGTGCCAACACCCATTTGGACACCCATTTGGATGCCAAACCAGAAACTGAGGATCATCTCTGACACTTCCCACTCGCTCTCCTTTCCTGCCCACGACCAAGCCCTGTTGATTTTCCTTTTTAATTGACTAATTCTATCTCCACTGCCACCACTCTTGTCTTGTCTGTACTCCCATAGATATCCTTGTTTGGTTGACTTCATTAACCTTCTAACTGGTCTCCCTGTCTGTAGGTGTGGCCCCCTCCCATCCATTCTCCACATGGTATCAAAAGGATTCCTGAAATATGCAGATCAGGTCACAGCACACTTAGCTTCTCCACTCTTTTAGAATAAGCAGCATGTTTAATGCTGTCCTTTAGGACCCTTTAGGCTCACCTCCAGCGACTCCCCTCTTCCCTCTAGCCACACTGGCCTTAATTGCTGGACCTCTGCCGTCTCCCACCTCAGGGCGTGGTGGGATGAACTGTTCCCTCTCTCTGGAGTAGATGCCAGTCCTTTGCCTTATGAACTCCTATGCCCTTTTCAGTCCTCATCTCCACCTTCCTTATGGAAACCTCCCTGACACCCAGATGAGATCAGGTTCCCCACAGTATGTTCTGGTCCTCATCCCATCTGTGTACTTATTAATGTCTGCCTCTCCCCTGGACTGCACTTTTTGGGGGGACAGGATGTAAGCTGTGCTTCAACTTATGTAAATTTTTACTTAAAAGTGACCTCCACACAGTACATACTCACTAGATATTTGCTAAATTAATTAAGTAATTAACAAGAAACAGTGGCGCTCTAACTCAAAACTGATTTCATCTCCTTCCCTTTCCACCACTCCACTTTGCCCTATCCTTTGAACAGGAATGTCCTTGAAAATAACCAAACATTGGAGGAAACAGAAACAGGGAGGAAAACCGCTTGGCTGGTTCCCAGGATTCTGCTTTGGACATTGTTCTTCACATCCATTTCTGGGTGGGAAACCAGCTTGTGGGGAAAAGGAGGGGCTCCTTAAGCAGGGATTAAAAAGACTGGAGCAGCCACTCTCACCTCTCATCACTAGCACAGGAAAAAGGCTGCTTGCCTATCTCCACACAGCTTTAAACGACATACAGTAGTTCCCCCTTATCTGCGGGAGATAAGGTTCCAAGACCCTCCATGGATGCCTAAATTCGCGGATAGTGCCAAACTCTCTACATACTGTTTTTTTCCTATACACACCTACCTATGATATGGTTTAATTTATGTTAGACAAAGTAAGAGACCAACAATAACTAATAATAAAATAGAACAATTACAACAACCTGCTGTAAAACAAAAATTATACGAATGCAGTGTCTCTCTCAAAATATCTTATTGTACTAAACTTCCCTTTTCACCTAAAAGGAAGGACTTTATGGCTTCTCACTGGCATATCCGAATTGCCTTCATCGCTACTCTTGTGGTTTGGGGCCATTATTAAGTAAAATAAGGGTTCTTTGAACACAAGTACCATATACTCAGACAGTAGATGTTATAACTGAGAAGGCTACTCAGTGACTCACATGCAGGGAGCATGTACAGCGTAGATGCATTGGACAAAGGGATGATTCACATTCCAGGTGGGATAGAGGGGGCAGTGCAAGATTTAATCACGCTACTCAGAATGGCACATGATTTAAAACTTATGAATTGTTTATTCTCGGGGTTTTCCATTTCACATTTTTGGACCATTGTTGATGGCAGGTAACTGAAACTGCAGAAAGCAAAACTGCAGATTAGGGAGGTACTACTGTATGACCCTTTCAGAAAGGCTTGCCCCCTTTGAAGTTGTGTGTGCTCTTCATATTGAAGTAATTTCAACAAGATAAAAAGAATGCCTCAACCCCTTTGTGGAAGAAAGGGAACTGAATGAAGGAACAAGTAGTAAATGAATTAACAAATATAGAGAAAAGTATGGATGAAGCTGTTGGTGTGGCCCAGTGGTGACAGGTAGAACACAGTGTAATTTGTCCCCAACCCCTGCTAATGACCAGTATACTCTACAGAGCTGGGACACACACTGAGTTCAGTTCTCAATCACCATTTCTTGCCCTCAGGAGTCATTCCCTGAGAGGCTGAAAATGACATTATAAATGACTCTTGTCCATCATAAGGTGTGAGTGACAGCCTGCACTCTGGAGCACTGAAATAATTTAGGAAAAGTAAAAGCTTAACGTTATGACAGGTAAGCTCTCTGAGGACTGCAGGAAGAGGGAGGAGCCATCTACTTGACACACCAGGAAGCACCCACCCAGAATGATTTTAAAAAATAGAATCATGTAGGTTTTAAATTGCATTAAAGCCAGTGTCTCCAGGTCAACTTGTAGGACCTTGGAACCATTATTTCCTCCTTGGGTGCCTGTTGAGTCCCTCCCACCTCCAGTTAAAGGGTGTTAACAGTGGGGAACACCACCAGATGTCTGACACCAACTCAGGAAGTCAGAGACTGAGTGAGCCTCCCCTCCCTTCTCCCCTCAGGCCACAGCAAGTGCATGAGAACTCACCCCAGACTGAATCACTGGTGGGTCATCCGGTCTCCCCGCTCTCTGGGAAGGTGGCAGGAGGTGGCAGTTCAGTCTTGCCTTATGATTCCGTTTCTTTCTTGCTGCCCCCGGCAGACTTGCTGGTAAAGGCAGTTGTAAGCATTTCCTACCGAGCAACCACACACGTAAAGTGTGAGTGACATAAGTATGTGTATGTTTTTCCTTCCGGTTGCTGTGAACTGATGTCTCAGCCCATTTCCTCTCTGCACCTCTTCTTTTTCCTGTCAGAACTTCCGATACACTGTGAACGATTCATAGTTTAGGGACAGGTAAGAAATTTAGTTCTAACCTGTACCATTTACTATTTTGAGAAAGACAGGTGATCTTTAAGCTTTTATTGCAATAAAACTGTGGAATGTGCTTTCTAAGCGGCATAAGCACCTTTGTAGGTTGCATTGGGGCAAAAATTAGTCTATTTTAAGGCCAACCAAATTGGAATTTTTGTGGTTTTATGGACTCAATATATTCTGGAGTTCTACTATAAATTGACACGAGACGTCATTTCATTTTACAAGTATTTTTTGAGCCTGTACACTGTGACAGGCACCCAGCTAGGGGATAGGTAAACAGTGGATACTCTCCTAGTTACAATGTGATATGGAAGTCTAGATTTGAGTATGTGACAAGGAATTTAAGAATCACTTAATCCCAAGCCCTGTGTCTTTTTCTGGCTGTACTTTTGAGTAGTTGACAAGTGGATATTGTCTGAGACTAACCACCCTGGTTTGAATTACCTGCAACCTTTAAACACCTTTGACTTTTCTGTGCCTTAGCATCATCTGCAACAGGCGAATGATCGCAGGGTTGTTGAGAGAATTAGATGAGTTAGTATAAGTACAGTCCTCCAAGAGTGCTTGGCACCAATAAATAAGTAAGCAGTATATACGTATGTGCTATTATAATTAGTGGCAAATGATATGATACGTGCAGTCCTTTGCTTTTCTTCCTTCTCTTCCCCACTTCCCACCCCTTTCTGGTACCTTGGGGACATGGAGGGTTGAGGAAACAAGAAGATGGATTGAGCAGCTGATGCTCCCAAAATGATCCAGAGGACTTTCAAAACTGCTTCAGAAAGTAGCAAGAACAACGGGATAAGTGTGTTCGAAGCAAGGGGGAGTATTTTGAGGGGGATGAATGGCAATGTGTCTTTCACTGTAATAATTTTTTTTTATTTAAACATTCACCATATTGTTTGATCGCACCTCGTACATCTATAACAAGAACATTTATATTAATTATCACGTATATTACATCAAATGTAGTTAGCAATATTCACGGTAAAATATCATCAAGGTACTTTATTTTTTTCTTTCTCTCTTCCTCTCCTTAAAGAAAGCCATCTTGAGTACATGCTATGTATCAAGAACTGTTCCAGATTTGAGGTAGAATTATCCTTTCCCAATTTTTTTATTTTACAGTGCTGTGTATTAATAATAAATTGATAGAGGAAGAAGAGTAGTATAGACAGTATGTATTTTTTTTCAAAATGTCCCTCTATTAATTTTCCATTATATCACCAAATCAGCTAAGGTATTATGTTCTTCATTAGATGTTTAAGCAGTATACATTTAAATGTGTCAATTATAGAAAAAATAATTTACAGTGATGTAGTATAACTCAAAGATTAATGCCATCAATTCTCTCCAGAAATCAATAACACTCAAGGTATAATTTTTTAAAAAGCTAAACTTGGGCTTTATTTAAATAAAGTACTTGAGTTTGGCAATTTGATTATTCTTAGCTCTGTTCTTTCATCTACATCCTAATGGCCTCATTTCCCACATTGAGCTGCCTGGACCTTCCACTGTTGAGTTCTTCAAAATGGGGAGCGCACATCTGTCAGGGCAAGCTAGGGCGCTCAGACCTTGTCCAAGAACAGATCAGACTTGTTTTAGAAACACATATTAAATATTTTTCTCACTTGGAAAGATGGAGGTTTTTTTATGTCTGTTTTCCTACTTACAGTCTCAGATTATTTTCTTCCCCCCCCCCTCTTTCTCTTTTGGTTTGTTTTCTTATTTTGATGAGTGGCAGGTTATGCCATGTGTCAAAATTTTGACAAACCACAGATGGGTCTGACAAAAAACAAACAGCTGTAATTTCTAATCACTCTATCAAAAAAAAGCCATGTTTACATTTTCATCTTTATTTAAACAGTTTTTTTGACTGCTTTAATTAGCTTCTTCATGCCATCTCAGTTAGCTGGAATCTCGGTTAGCACCACATTATGGTTTATAACTACCTGTTAAGCAGTAGCCAAACCCCAGGCAACTGTTTTGAATTTGTCATGAACGTTTGGTCCAGGAAGTGACTGTTACATGGAGTGGAGGCTGAGGGGTGGAAAAGGGAGAAGTGGGGACAATTTGAGAAGATAAAAAGGTTGAAACATCTATGGCCATGTTGTGTGTGTGTGTGTGTGTGTGTGTGTGTGTGTGTGTGTGNGTATAATAAGGACCCTATTGGTGGGCATTTGGATTGTGTTCATGTTTTCAATATCATGCACAACTACATTTCAAATAGCCTCAAAAGAAAGAAACCCAGGCTAGGTTGAACTCGAATAGAGAGTGTTGGGCCCAGAAGCTGTTCTATGCTATTAAGAAATCCTAAATTATGTACAAGAGAGAGTAAATGGCACAGAAGAGGCCAACATTTCTTTAACTGGGTATGCAAGGAATATTGTTGTTGGTAATGTTACCTGGTACATATGAAACATCTTTTCCCTATGCAACACTTTGTTTACCTGCAAAATAGACACATTTTGCTGCTAAATCATCCTGGCAGGAACCCAGGAGGGGCAATCACAGGCCTGCTTAGAGGAAGATGGTATATGAAAGCGTTACTGAAGTTTCCCTAGCGCTGAAGCAAGCAGCCAGCAACATTGTCTCTGAAAAGTGCTTAAGCCAAAAATACTCTTTGTTCTGCTATATATATTAAGTTGAACTCTGTTTTCAATCAGGCTGTTATTCAAACACTGGAGCAGATCCAAATTTGCTTTCCTGAGGAAAAGTCAGTCTTTGCTACAGATTGCGCGCCTGAGAAGGTGGGCTTCTCACTTGCACAGTGGATTGCCAGGCCTGCTGCCCACTGGTCCAGTGTGTAAGAAGGACAGCTTCCATTCTGCACAGTCTGCACTGCAGCTCGCAGGTCCCCAGAAGTGCACTGGCTACCTTTTCTTCACAATCTTGTACTTTCTGTATCTTTCCTATTCTACCAGGACTATCCCAAGCCTCACTTCCCCAGAGCAGGTTTCCTGGCTTAAATTGCTTTTTCTTCTGCACAGTAGCACTGGTCTCTAACACTCACTTGGTGATTCATTCATTCATTCATTCGTTCATCTATTCAATAAATATTTATTGAGCACAATAGTGATACAATAGTGAACAGAGATACAATAGTGAGCAAAACAAAGTCTTGCACTCACAGAGTTGGCATTCCAGGGACAAAAACAGACAATAAATAAATGCACAGGTATTTACTATGTCAGGTGGTGATAAGTGCAAGTAACGGAGTGGGTATGTGAGGTGGGGGTGTGGCTCTTGTATATAGTCTAATAAAATGCTGACTTCATAGAGTATAGGTTATGTGTATGACACTCCGATGCCCATGGCCACGTGTAGCACATAACAGCAAGCTGGCACAAATAATCCCATCATTTTAAGAAAATGGATTCTTATTTATAAACAACATGTACTCATGCCTTTATTTCTAATGCCTGCCCTTGCTTCAGACAAAAACAAACAAACAAACAAAACAACACAATGAAAACAGAGGCCAATAAAGTAAATAATTTAAAGCAACTAAAGAAAGAAACACCATCAAGCAGACCTAAGTTTTCTCAAATCAATCTTTCTGAAATCATAACACCTTAATTAAGTGGTTCTTTTATTCATCTTCACATAAAAATAAACAAATTATGAAACAAAATAACTACGTACATAATTACTCTGGCGATTTTATTTTAAATACAAGTTTATGCAATTTGTTAAGCCTCATTGTCCTTTATATCTGAACTATATGTGCTTTTGAAAGCTGTATGAAGGATAGCATGTTGTGTATAATTGTTGAAATGTGTTTATGGTCATAGTATAATTTACATATGTAGTCCTTCGTCAACCCTAAAGTTCATGAAGACACAACCTCATTTTATCCCAATACCATATGTTAAGGAAAAAATGGACTTGATTGGCCCAGGGGCTTCTCGAAGTCATGAAACCACTGCAAGTGTTTTTAATTCCTTGGACACGGCCCACATATGAGGGTGGGGACTTTGTCTTCTTGGCTTCACTACTGAATCCGCAACACCTAGCCCAGTGCCTGGTCTGTAGTGGACCCTTAACAAATGTTGAATAGATAACTACCAACTTATTTTCTGAAATGAGATATGGTATCTGTGGTGTTCATTTTATGTGTCAACTTAGCCAGGCCAAGACACCTAGATATTTGGTCAGGCAGTATTTTCGATGTTGCTGTGAAGTTATATTTTAAGTAAGATTAACATTTAAATCAGTAGATTTAACCCTCCATAGTGTAAGTGGGCCTCATCTAATCAGTTGAAGGTCTTAAGAGAAAAAAGACTGGCTTTCTGTGAGCTAGAATTCTGCTGGAGGACTGACTTTGCAATCAACTATTGGGCTGTCGGAAAAGTCATGACGTATTTTTTCTATGTTTTTCGTCGCAAAAATGCGTTATGACTTTTCCGACAACCCAATACAATGTCAGCTCTTCCTGGGTCTCCAGCCTGTCCGCCTACTCTGCAGATTTTTAATTTGCCAGTTTCTATAAATGCATGAGCCAATTCCTTAAAATAAATTTCTCTACATATGTGTATCTATGTACACACATCCTGGTGATCCTGTTTTTCTGAAGAACCTTGAATAATACAGTGTCCCTTCGTCATTTACTCTTTCAATGAATCAACCAGTACTTTTTTTTTTTTTTACCAAGACTCACACTCACTCATCAAAGTCCCACAGCCACCAAAGCCAGACCAGTGACACTAGCTATTGACATCCACTTCTCCACTCTGGTAGAGGGACAGAGCACATTACCTCCTCACCGTTTCATTTCTCCTGTGATTCAAAGCACCTGCACATTTTCTCTCTAG